GTTAACTGTCATATGACTTATGAATTACTATCAAACATTCACTGCTGGGTGAACAGAGGTAATTCATTAACAAACTCACTTGTCTTGGATGTGTATCACGTGTGCATGGTTGTGGGGCAGTGCATGTATAAAGCTTTATCTGTCACATCACAGCCCGTGAAGTGCATGTATAATGCTTTATCTGTCACATCACAGCCCGTGAAGTGCATGTATAATGCATTATCTGTCATATCACAGCCCGTGAAGTGCATGTATAAAGCTTTATCTGTCACATCACAGCCCGTGAAGTGCATGTATAATGCTTTATCTGTCATCTCACTACCCATGAAGTGCATGTATAATGCTTTATCTGTCACATCACAACCCGTGAAGTGCATGTATAATGAAAAATGCTTTATCATCCCTGTTACAACCGGTGTAGGACATTTATAATGCTTTATCTTCCATGTTCAAACCCGTGCAGGACATGTATAATGCTTTATCCAAGATGTTACAACCCGTGCAGGGCATGTATAATGCTTTATCCAAGATGTTACAACCCGTGCAGGACATGTATAATTCTTTATCCTCCATGTTCAAACCCGTGCAGGACATGTATAATGCTTTATCCAAGATGTTACAACCCGTGCAGAACATATATAATGCTTTATCCTCTATGTTACAACCCGAGCACGACGTGTATAATGCTTCATCCAAGATGTTACAACCCGTGTAAGACATGTATAATGCTTTATCATCCATGTTACAACCCGTGCAGGACATGCATAATTCTTTATCCTCCATTTAAAAACCTGTGCAGGACATGCATAATGCTTTATCTTCCATGTTACAACCCGTACAGGACATGTATAATGCTTTATCTTCCATGTTACAACCCGTGCAGGAAATGTATAAAACCCAGCAGAACGTGTATAATGCTTTAGCTTCCATGTTACAACTCTTTCAGGACATGGATAATGCTTTATTCAAGATGTTGCAACCCTTTCAGGGCATGTGTAATGCTTTATCCTCCATGTTACAACCCGTTCGAGACATGTATAATGCTTTATCCAAGATGTTGCAACTCTTTCAGGACATTGTAATCCTTTATCTCCCATGCTACAACCCATGCAGTACACTTATAATGTTTTATCCTCCATGTTACAAACCCGTGCAGGACATGAAAATAAGTTATCTTTTCCTCCGAGAGATCTGTATCAAGTGATTTTTCATCGACGACAGTAGCCTGGTGTACACAATCTGTCTGCTTGTTTTATGAGGCAGCGACACATTAAATTTTATCGTTGGAACATTGTTCACGCCAACGTCCTTAACAGCATTCCACACTAACACTACCAGTACCAAACGTAACCGATTTGTACTTGCAATCTCCAAAATGGGAAAGAAACATCAGAATGGGGAATCTGTTAAACATTTCCAGCAGCTGTTCGTCCCTGGAGGGGAAGACGTTTTGCTAAATGTGAGATTGGTCGGTAACGCACTGCCGGATACATCACGTCATGTTTCAAAACCTGCATCAAGGGAACTTGCATTGGATACGTCAGGGGCATGAAGAAATTCAACATCCTATGTCAATAAGAAAAATCTCTGGAAGCGCATTGCGAGAAGTCCTCACCCGATCTTCAAGACAGCCTCTTGTACTTAATCTTTTTAACAAATTGATGGTTTTGTATTTACTTCATACCTACCGCTGCCCGGATATGATTGGTGGTTGAGAAGCTATGTTGCTAACGCGTTCGCTCGACACACCGAAGCCCTGAGGTACAATGCTTGAAGCCTTTTCGCTGGCGTTCCGCGTGGTTTTATTTCTGGAGTACCGATAAGCGGGATAAACCTTTGTTCACTCACTCTCCGACATGGCACTCTCAAAGGAACCGTGTTAAAATATCAATGTGTTTCTTCTCATCGGAGTCATCCCACCCCGTGTTGCAATGCAACACACATTTGCTACATATTCCAAATGGTTTTTTTCCTTTCTACAAACGACCTTCTTACCCCTAACATATAGTTGCAAACTCCCCTGGATGCTGTGAATGTGGTTAGAATGCAAACTAACGTTGACAACGGCGGCAATGCAGGTGTAAGAGGGCCGACTAAACCCTGGGTGATTGAAGATTATTTTATATTTTACTTCCACATGGAAATGATTTTATGTTACCTTTCCTAGCACGTGTGTGTATAGGAGTTGATAATGTGCATACTCATTTTAAACAAGCGCACTTAAAATAGAAACAACTTTGTGTACATATGTTTATCCTCCACGTGAAACTGGACAGCTGAAACCGTCTCAGATATCAATACTGTATGTTAATGCGATCTATATTTCACACATGGAATACTGACAATGTGCCAGCTTGCAGAATTATAAGAGCTCAGTTTCGGCATATTTTCGCATATTCGTGTGAAGACTCGACCTGTTTGCAAACATCTGGCGTCAGTAATCAATTTTTATAATTTCAACTGCTATTTAGCATGGTATTTGGCATTTTCCGCCCAACATGATTTTTAATACGAAAATAATGACCAGTAATTGTTCTGGCATTGACGTCAAGTATTTCCCCAACAATGGTTGTTTACGACATGAACACTGGTTGAGAACAACAGCTGGTGTTACGTAATGCCAAATAGAAACATAAATGGCTGTTATGTCTGGGTTTTAATGGACAGGGTATTTGATATTGATCTGACCACACATGTCAGCAAACAGGAAGCTAAGACTGTGATGAAAATATGTGAAATAAGGATAAGCAGAAGACCGATCCTACAAGCGTGTGGTAGATAGAAGTTCAAGTACATTTTACATAATATATGTTAGGTGAAAATTACCAGTGTTCAGTAAAGATAATATCCTCTTAGGAATATTATGAAATCCTAATAAATAGTTACTTTTATCTTGGAAATGTTACTTTTATATCCATGTATATGCAGCTGTAAATACATGCTTTGACGTTTCTTGTGAGGTGAAATGGGGTTTAGCGTCTTACTTAGAATATTTCGCTCATATGACGACGTGCATGCGTGTGTATATGTGGGTGCTTGTACGTTTCAGACATAAGCTGTTTTTATCGTGCTAGTTCACTGAGATACCATGCTGCAGTTAAGTATGAATACCCCACTCAGATACATTATACTGACTCCGAGCTGACCAGACCTTGTTGTACCCATTAATGCCGAGCGCCAGGCAGGGACCAACAAGTATCATATTTTAACGTTGTTTGGTATGACGCAGTCGGGGATCGAACCCGCGACCTTCCGCTCTCCGGACTGACGCTCTAACCACTACACTACGAAGGCGGCTTTGACGTTTGACATATCCCTTATATGGCTATCATGATTAGAAACAAATCAAGTGGAATTGCATGTTTTAGGTGATTTCTCATTCGTTAACTTACCAGTACGACAGTCTAATAGACATGTACATATGTACACACACAAATCTGTATGTCGATGATTGAAGCCGATTGATGTCTAACGTTGATTTAGCAGAAAGACAGATTGTTTATAACATGTACATACTGTACACACAGAAGTCTGTATGTCGAGGTTTCAACAATCCACAATCAGAAGATGGTCACTTGAAAATCTGAAACCATCAGAAGTGTATGTGGAAAGTGAATAGCCCGGTACAACACTGTCAGAATGTAGGGATTTGACTTGAGCCGAACAGGGGGTGAATCTCAGCCCTTAGTGAGTGTTTTGGGCCGAGTTAAGAGGAATGGCCTGAACTTATGCAGAAACCACTTCAGAGTGATTAGAACCAAGGCTCAAATCAGTCTTCAGTGAATTTGTAAGGAATTGATTACAACGGACATTTGAAACATGTCCCTCTGTGCCGTGGAGTCTTGTGCTTTTTAACTGGGGTCTATTACTATTAATATATTGTGTTATATGTATGTGCTGGTACTTTTTTATTAGGAATGTATTTTTTAATGTTCGCTCTCAGGGGAGGAATACATCTTCGACCTAGATGAGTCGTTCAAAGACGAACAGAACATAAAATGAAATTATTACCGAGATTAGTTGAAGATGAACTCATGCATTTAATACTTTTGAGGTATATGCAGACTTCCAAATGAAGTCAGCGTGGTATTCATGTACTTAATTAGTAGTCGCCAAAACTAATTCATGAAAGGTCAAATGTGACTTACAAGACGTAACTGGAAAACGTAACTGGCGAAATTGGACTGGAGTCAAACTTCCTTCCTAGTATAGCTGTGCTACACTCTGAGCTGCTCACAGATCACCGGCCAGGAACTGAAGAGCCCTAATACTGTAACGTAAATCACACACTCTGAGCTGCTCATAGATTCCCAGCCAGGAACTGAAGAGCCCTAATACTGTAACGTAGATCACACACTCACTGCTCACAGATCACCGGCCACGGACCGAAGAGCCTCTATACTGTAACGTAGATTAGACACTCTGAGCTGCTCATAGATTCCCAGCCATGAACTGAAGGGCCCTAATACTGTAACGTAGATCAGACACTCTGAGCTCCTCATAGATTCCCAGCCAGGAACTGAAGAGCCTTTATACTCTAACGTAGATGAGACACTCTGAGCTCCTCGTAGATTCCCGGCCACGGACCGAAGAGCCTTTATACTCTAACGTAGATCAGACTCTCTGACACAGGTTTCCCGATATGTGAGCTCAAGTTTCAACACAATCAATTTCCCAGAACTGAAATAATATACGATATAAGAATTGCCTCAAATAAATCTAAACGTATTCCCTCGTGCGTTTCTGTATCATAAGTTAGGAATAACAGAAACATATTATGCTCACCAAAAGATATATACGATAAGAAGGTACACTAGTTACCAATCCGCTTATATCTACATGTGAGACGCCGTTATTAGCTGTCCACTGGCGTCTCATACAGAATTTCCAAAATCATATATCAAATTTCAGATAATCCCTTTTTAATCACACACACGTTTCCAACCTTTGATAAATGTAATGCGTCATTCTGCATCTGTACCATTTTCCTCATCTTTCAGTGCGACATGGCGATGGCAACGCGGGTGTTCTTCGACATGATGGATGACCACAACTCCACCAAGGTGATTCTCTTCGGGGACGCTTGTTTCCAAGTGACGGGGCCGATCTCTCAGATATCTAAATACTGGAATATGTTCCAGGTATGTGGACTTACGTTTCATAGATAAGTCACTTAGTCATTTATGCACACTATAAGAGTGAGTGAGTGAGTTTAGTTTTACGCCACACTCAGCAATATTCCAGCTATATGGCAGCGGTCTGTAAATAATCAAGTCTGCACCAGACAATCCAGTGATCAACAGCATGAGCAATTAGTATATGATGACACGTGTCAACCAAGTCAGCGAGCCTGACCACGCCATCCCGTTAGTCGCCTCTTACGACAAGCATGGGTTACTGAAGGTCAATTTTAACCCAGATCTTCACGGGTAACACTATAACAATCATTGTACACTGTACAATGTGATAGATTTATTGAATAGATCTTCAGGCTATTGAACAGGCGTTTACGCCACTGCAATGCTGATATCACGAACGCGTAACCGCATATATGTCTTTCCAAAACGTTTTTTAACCCACATTTTATCATATTTTAGGTTTTAGTGGGCAATTTTCTGTTGAAACAGTATCCAAGTGCCAGAATGACGCCAAAATAACATTCTTCCCATTAGGCCAAGAGGCATAATAATCAAGCATTATAAGTTTTTTAACGTGCGCTGTGCGTCAAACATGAGTATTATTGCATAACATACTTTAAGTTTTTGCTAATACCGTGTGTCACCACTGATATTTCTTGATTCATTCATAGAATTTTCACCACAGTATCGCCTTTTGTGCCAATCGGAATCCAGCAAAAAATCGAGACTCTTTATTCTCTGACTTTGACGCTCAAAATTCAAAAGACGATATCGTAATTGCTTGCGAGTCTCGTAAAAACAGTGGATTGCCAGCATTTGGCATTGTGATCATTTCTACTTTTGAGCAATGATAAAGCATTCATATGAAAACGTGTGTGAAACATTGTTGTCTAAATCAGTCGTGGCACTGTGTGGGACACTAATGAATATTTTTTAAAAAACACAACTGTGTTCATACAAACATGACGGCATGTGCATACAATCACTTCCTTAATAGGATACTTTGTGTGATACCTTGTGATTGATGCGTGACATGCCGTCACATAAATACACTGACTCCCTCAACAGCTTTCTTTGTGTAATACCTTATGATTGATGCGTGGCATGCCTTCATGTTAATACACTCACTTCCTAAACAGGATACTGTGTGTGATACCTTATGATTGATGCGTGACATGCCTTCATGTTAACTCACTTCCTAAACAGGATACTGTATGTGATACCTTATGATTGATGCGTGACATGCCTTCATGTTAATACACTCACTTCCTAAACAGGATACTGTGTGTGATACCTTATGATTGATGCGCGACATGCCTTCATGTAAATACACTGACTTCCTAAACAGGATACTGTGTGTGATACCTTATGATTGATGCGCGACATGCCTTCATGTAAATACACTCACTTCCTAAACAGGATACTGTGTGTGATACCTTATGATTGATGCGCGACATACCTTCATGTAAATACACTGACTTCCTAAACAGGATAATGTGTGTGTGATACCTTATGATTGATGCGACATGCCTTCATGTAAATACACTCACTTCCTAAACAGGATACACTCACTTCCTAAACAGTGTGTGATACCTTATGATTGATGCGCGACATGCCTTCATGTAAATACACTGACTTCCTAAACAGGATACTGTGTGTGATACCTTATGATTGATGCGTGACATGCCTTCATGTAAATACACTGACTTCCTAAACAGGATAATGTGTGTGATACCTTATGATTGATGCGTGACATGCCTTCATGTAAATACACTGACTTCCTAAACAGGATACTGTGTGTGATACCTTATGATTGATGCGCGACATGCCTTCATGTAAATACACTCACTTCCTAAACAGGATACTGTGTGTGATACCTTATGATTGATGCGTGACATGCCTTCATGTAAATACACTCACTTCCTAAACAGGATACTGTGTGTGATACCTTATGATTGATGCGTGACATGCCTTCATGTAAATACACTCACTTCCTAAACAGGATACTGTGTGTGATACCTTATGATTGATGCGTGACATGCCTTCATGTAAATACACTCACTTCCTAAACAGGATACTGTGTGTGATACCTTATGATTGATGCGCGACATGCCTTCATGTAAATACACTCACTTCCTAAACAGGATACTGTGTGTGATACCTTATGATTGATGCGCGGCATGCCTTCATGTACTAACACTCACTTCCTGAATAGCATTTTGTGTGATACCTTATGACTGACGCATCACATGCTGGCACAATCATGCATACAATCCACAACAATTATAGGAATATTCAAAAGTCTCGGATTTCGCTTAGACATCAAATTTCGTGTTTCATGACTTGGATTTAAGTTATAAAACTCTCTCATTTCCTTGCTACATTCTGGCACTAAAAACCTTCCCTCCCTCTGGCCATATATTGACGTCTGAAACATTGTATGGTGAAGACTAATATTTCAGGAAAAAATATCTGGTGTTTTATTTCAGACTTCATTTTTACTGTAATAAAAGCTTTGAGAGTAGCTGATGTGGTAATTATTGCTATAAGGTCTTTGATTTTGTTTGAAGTCGGTTTGATTCTTTTTCTGAAAGAGACATGAAGCAAGTTGCGCTACAGTGAAACCTAAGCTGATGACGTAGGAGTGTATGGTGGTCTTCAGGGGCTATAATTCTTCTACAGCATAACAGGGTCTTGAGTGTTGAATAACATCGACAACAGGTATTCATCCCACACTGAGCGACATTTGGCTCTGTTTCGATAGCTATGCAATATGATATTAAAATTCACGTAAACGCCATTGTTTCGGTTTGCAATGGTCTTTTGAGAGGGATTAAGGTTACACTCGTTAATAGATTTGTTAAATGTTCAAAGTCTGTAGCTACTTCTCGCCAATCAGAATTCAGTCTTGATAATCATTTTTATATTTCATTTCATTTCGGTATTCATTGTAGGAATACCTATGTACACGAGTGTAGAGTTCTGTGAGCTGGATTCTGATTCTTTGCATGTGATATTGAAGGAATAATCTTGAAAACAGTTAAAAATGTCGACCATTTCTAAATCAAAGATGGCCGCCAAAAAGAGGACGAAAAACGTTTACCGTGTACACACTGCCCGTTACTTGCAGATATGAGTATGGAACTCTCATGGACACTGAAGTTTTGATAGGTGGTACTACATAAACACACCCTGTAATGTTTAAGTCAATTCATCAAATGTTACCCCATGTATATTGCTGTTGGTGTTGTGGCTGAAAGGTGCTAGACCACAACGCTGACTGTGGTTCTCATTGGGAGAGTCACTCTAATCTCAATATAAAAAGGAGTGAACTTCCATCGGCAAGCACTTTATCTGTTCACGAGGCCCTCGGAAATGTCATCAGTTGAAGGGGTTTGGGGGTATTTTTTAAATATTTTTGTTTGTTTATCGAAGCAAGATGGTATTTATATCTAACAGAGACATTTAGCAAGGTTCCTTTTCATGGCATCTCCGCCTGTGATGTCTTTATGCTATGCTGCCTGATAATACAAATCAATAAAGTAATTCATAGAGCATTAACGTTCGTATTAGGGCATTAGCTTTAGAATGGATCGGACAGAGTATTAGGTATTAACTCTATATATCTCCATACACTGAGAAAACAGATCAAACCGTAAGCCGCTGCCTTCTTGCCCTAGCGCTGGAATACCGGTAATTGAACAAACAATTCAGTTCTGGTTAAACATCATCCAACAGTACACTGACCAAATGCAACAGTCAGATACGATGTGTAAATATTTTTAGCATTGTGTGTTATAATTACCGCCTGTGTTCGTGCTTTTCTGAGACACGGGCAAAGATAGAAGGCTACAAGACCAAGGTTCGCTGAGAATTTCGAAACTAGGTGACTAGACTGGCCCAGAGCATGTAGAGTCTTCCGAGACGGTGTGTTTGTCTTGTTGGCGAGTTCTCTGTGGGGTCGGGGCTTCTCCATTAACGCCTCCATACATTACTAGCGTGTCAGTTCTTGTGTGTCATGTGCGACCAATGGCGGCTGTGATGGGATGTGGACTCCGGTGGGGATTGTCCATTAGCTGTGTGATGCACCTGTGTACCTAGTGCTGGTGCTCACCTTACCCTAATAACCTCTGTCCTCTCGGGCTAATGAAGCTTGTCACTTTGGATCACAACACATGCTACACACAATAACTTAAGAACCTTGTGGTTCATAGTGGGGTCGTGAGGTAGTCTAGTGGTTAAGCATCCGCCCGTTACGCTAAAGGCCCGGGTTCGATTCCCCAAATGGGTACAATGTGTGAAGCCAATTTCTGGTGTCTCCCGGTGGAATATTGCTGGAATTATGCAACAAGCGGCGTAAAGCCATACTCACTCACTGTGATTCGCAGTAACCCGTCCTTGTTTCGATATGCTGTCTTTGTGTCGTCGTCTTTGGCGACGTTTTCATGGTGTCGATCGACGTTATCCTACCCTGACGTTTGCTATAAGCTGAGTATGTTTTATCATACATTAACACGCATTTTTCTATCGTTCGGAGTTATGGATATATGCTCTATTTTCGGCGTCATCAGGTGACGTCTATCATAAAGCCGTAACAGTGCTTCCCTTAATGGAGCACTCAATGAACTCACGTCATGACGTGTATGTTGTAGATACAGCCACATAATGTCATTCTACAGGAACACATTCACGTCTGGGTGAGTAGAGGTATAATTCGAGCAAAGTCAGTTGACTGAGTGAGTGGGGAGTGAGTATGGTTTTACGCCGCTTTTAGTAATATTCAAGCGATATCAAGTGTGTCACTAGAAATGTGCTTCACACATTGTAGCCATGTGGGGAATCGAACCCGGGTCTTCTAATCGAGTCTGGACCAGACAATCCAGTGATCAACATCATGAGCATCGATCTACGCATGTGGCAAGTCAGCGAGCCTGACCACCCGATACTGTTAGTCGCCTCTGAATGGGTTACTGAAGATGAATTCTAACCCGGATATTTGTTTT